GAACTGTAACTTCTGAATTCAGCTGTGAATTTCGGAGGCCAGCTGTCCTTCAGGGACCTGTGGGAACACATCAGTGAGACGACAGGCTTCTGGTGCTGGCAGAATGGGGACAGTGGGGTGGGTGGGTTACTGGGCTTGTGGAGGTGTCCCCCCTCCCCCACATACACTTTTTTCTGGAAGGTCGGGTTTTCATTCATGGGAGATTTAATTTATTAGTTCTTTTGGATGGTCCCCTCCCCACATCCCAGAACCCTCATATTTCAATGTGGAGAGACTGATTTCTGGGGCCGATTGTCATGTGTCTCTCTCCCACTGCACATGGCTTGTGCTTGACCTTGTCACGGGCACTCAGGGAGAAACTTGGTTTTGCATCTTCTGCTCCTGTCAGGCAAGACGTTGTTTGTTGTTGTTGTTGTTGTTGTTTTGATGACATGGTGAAAACCGTGCAGAGCAAGGCTTCCTCGGGGCACCTTGGGGCGCCCTGGGCACAAAGGGCTGCCTGTTCGGCCCTGATGCCTCCGGGGCTCCTCCGGGATGGAGCGAGGGGCCCGCTGACCCAGGCTGCTTCTGGGAGGGCATCTTAGGGCTCTCCAGCGAGCGCTCCCACTGAGCGCCTCCTCTGCCAGGCTCTGTGCCCCGTGCTGAGGGACCGGAGGGAGCTGGGTCACTGCCGCACGGGCTTGTCCTCCATTAGGAGAAAGGAGAGCTGTGTGCATACTTTAGTGTGCAGAGGACAATAAAAGCCACAAGACAGGGCAGAGGAGAGGGAAAAGCGAGGAACACAGAGCCAATCAGTCTAAAGGCTGGAGGAGAGGCTGGCGTGGGGCCAGGTTAGCCAGGTGCAAGGCTTTAACCGATGCAGTGGGGACAAATGGGGGACAGCCTGGGCAGCACCTGACCATTGCCTGAGGTGCAGGTAGGGCAGATTATGGAATGCTGCCTAGGGTTTTCAGCTTTCCTCTAGAACGGGTCAGCAAACTGCAGCTCGCGAGCCACATGCGGCTCTTTGAGTAGGTTCCGTCTCAAAAGTTTGCTGACCCCTGAAAGAGCCAATCCTGTCCCTCACAACAATTTAAAAATTATTCGAGAGCCATAAATATATTTTTACATAATCACCATTATGTGAATAATTCATTTAAAATTTTTATAAATGAAACTGTGATAGTTTTATTTTCATTTTCAATTTTTCTTCAGAGACTGCGGTTCACAAGCCGCAGTTTGCTGACCCCTGGCGGCTCTCCCATCTCCAAAGTTGGCCGACCTCTGCTCTAGAAGATTCAAGTGCAAATGTGTTAACAAGCACAGCCAAGGCACAGGTGTCCTGGTGGGAAGCTAGGTTTGTTCAGGACCTACTGCGTGTCCTCACGGCTAATTTAGAGGGTGTCTGTTAAATTAGAGGAGGGTTGGTGTTGAGGAAAGCAGGGAAGCTGGGGCATGTGTAGGCGTGTGCGTGTGTGTGCGTGTGTGTGTGCGTGCGTGCGTGCGTGTACGCATGTGCATGCATGTGCGTGTGTGTGTGTGTGTTTAAAGCCTGTTAAATCAGTCGACACCCTTGGCATATGTTGGCTTGGGTAATAATAGGTGTGTGTGCCGGATAGGCTGTATTCCCAGGCGGGTCAGACCTCCGTTTCTAGGCCAGCGTTCCACCCGATGACAAGGCAGCTTTGTGAATCATCAGCTGCTACAGTGCAGAAAGGTCCAGGACAGGATCCCACAGCGGCCGGGGCGTGCCCTAGTAGGCCTGCGACACCTTGGAAATGGCACCCAAGAAGAGAAGCCTGGGACCGCAGCACCATGGGAAGTCAGGGCCTCTGCAACCTGGCCAGGGTCGCAGAGCTGGGGGCCCAGGCTCCTACTTCCACCTGCACCCACCCCCAACGGGCCGGCACGGTGAAGGTCAGCGGCTCCAGCAGCATGTTGCTCCCCGACACTTTTGTCTGGTTCCATCATTCATCCCCGAGGTGGGAGACAGTCTTGGCATCACCCAAGCAATCTGGTATCAGAGTGACTCAGAAGAAGGGTCTCCAGGGTCCCGGATGAATTTTTTCTATGGCTTTTTGAGCAAATATTGGTGTGACCCTGGGAGGGTGTGACTTAAACATTATTAAAGTGTATACTGCTTGTATTAAGTCCTAGAGAAGACAGGCCGAGTCAGAACCTTGTGGCTTGGTTACGGTAGGCATTCCACCTGGGTACTGCAGAGGTGTGTTGGAAAACTGGAGCGAGGCCAGAGGAGAGGACCTGATGGTTAACGGACCAGAACATCCTCATGAACAATTGAAGGGCCTGAGGATATGAGCTGGAGAAGAAGTGTTTTCAGGGGATGGGCTGAGGCCAAATGAAATTATCTTCAAATATTTAAAAGGTGGTTAAGAAAGAGAGAAATTAGGTTTGTATGCACCTTGGTTATACCTGGCAGCAGGGCTCAGTGGGACCTACAGGTGGGAGGTTGTGATTTATAGAAAGAATAATTAATTATCTGTGTTTGAAAATGAGTGAACTGGTGTGGAAGGTCCTCCCTTTGGGGGGTGGAAGTAAGACACCCAAGGTCCTTTCCTACTCAAGAGTCTCCAGTCCCCACCCTGCTCCTGGTGGAGCAGGCTTGCTTCCATCTTGCCTGACCGCACTGGCCGCCTTCTACTGAAGATGACGGCCACTTCTGCTCCGTGTCGGTATTGACTGGGGGAGGCAGGTGCATGGCGGCACACGGGGCACATGGGGCACACTGTCATTTCCAGAGCCCTGTTGCCCAGTGTGCCCTGGACCTACCTTTCCTTCCCAGGGGAGATTCTGCAGGCAGCAGAGTGGAGAAGAGTAGTGAAAGCAGCACCGATGGTAACAGCAGCTGTTGCTCTTCCTAGGAGCTGGACAGTTTGTCCACGTCTCCCAACTGGAGGTGGCAGAGCCAGCATTTGAACTCAGGCAGGCACTCTCCGTGTTGCTCTGCCTGGCTGGCCCGAAATAAATATAAGTCACCTGGGAAAGACAGAAAGATACTTGTGTCAACACTGGTTCTTCCTGAGAACCGAACCTCAGCATCATCTGGGTAATTTTTAAAATGCAGGTGTCACGGACCCACTTTTCCTCCCGACACAGACGCACATGCAGCACACTCCCGCTCTAAGTAGGGAAAGGAGTGATGGTATCACCGTAGGGTGTGGAACTGTGGCAGCCTGAGCATCTGTTGCCATGCCTGTGGCTTACCTGTTCAGGTGTACTTTTGAGAGCAGGATGCCATGGAGCTGGGTCTACCCTCTGACAGCAGCTGAGGAAACTCTCCCAGACACGTGCCATTCCTTCAGGACAGAGCCGATGGTCACAAAGTGTTTGGGCTAGCCGTACAGTATCCCGCCTAAGTCCCTCATTTTATAGGCGAGGTGAGGGCAGGGGCCTTGATAAAGCCATTGGAGGTGGCAGAGCTGGGCCTGGAGGCCATGCCCCCCGGTTGCGGTGAGGTCTCTTCCTGAGAAAAGCTCCTCTTAGGATTTCCAAGGTAGAAGGAATTCTAGAATAATGGGAATTGCCATGGGAACAACAGAACTTGCCTATCTGGAAGCCTTCCCTTGAGTGTCTTAGCAAAATGTGCTAAGTGAATGTGACCTGGTTCCTATTTTATAGTCTGTTTGGCTGTAGTGGGGAAGTAGCTGGTGTTTGCTTGGTGATTCCAAGTGACTGAGGGGTGTAAAGAATCACCTGGAATTTAACACCCAATCTTGTGACAACATGAACTTTCTGGCTCCAGCTTCAGTTGTGTGAAAGTCAGACTATTATGAGAAGCAAAAGCTCCTATCTGGGTATGACTTACAAAGACTGAATCCTCTAACATGTCTCTGTGTTTTGTGTGTGTGTACATTTCCATGCATCTTTAGTACTTTAGCCCAGGCCTTGGTACAAGAGGCATTCGATTAGTGCTTATTAAAATGGATTGTTGATATTTCACTTACTCCTCCCAGTAGCCCCGTCAGAGAAATTATTATTCCGTTTTGTCATCAAGGCGTAGAGATGATACATGATGTGCTCAAGGGCCAAAAAGCACAAGGCAGGTCTCCTGGCATCTTGTTTGGAGTTGCTGAGGATCACTGTCACCAGTGGCCTCAGATTTATTGAATCAGCATCTGCCTGGTTAACAAGATCCCAGGTGATGCTCACACACATGAAAGTGTCAGATGCTCCTTGCTAGGCTGAATTTCCAGGTGAATTAACCCTTTGGGAGTGATAGAAATGATACTTTTTCTGTCCTATGCTCTCCTGTGGGATGGGCCTTGGGGAAGGGAGGAACTTGAAGGGAAACAAAGATGTGACTTTTAAATGTTCATTATTCTATCACCACTTGTGAAAATAGTTCCTAGGAGACTCTTAGAGGCCCCCGGTCTTGCTAGGCTCAGTCAGTCGCTTGCTCCGGGGACTGATCTCACCACCATCTCAGTCAGGGTAAGACTGACCCAGTCGGGAGGAGAGGGTGTCAGACCACCTCTCGAGAGCCTGCAGGCTGAGCTGGTCAGAGGATAGGGTGCTCCAGGGGATGGGTGCGTGACACTGACCGGTCAGCCACTGTCCTGGGAGACGGTACTGTGTTGTCCCAGGGAGCTGAGAATGACTGTCTTAGCAGGGAAGGCACATGTGGGTCTTCTGTGATTCTGGTCATAGCGAGAGGAAATGACACACTTGTGTCTTGGTGTCCAGAGCGAACCCAGCCGGGGCTACCAGAATGTGCAGTGCTTGCATGGCGGGTGTGCCGGATGAATGCCAGGGGATCCTACAGGCTGGGGCCCATGCCCACAGGGGTGACCCTTCCCTGACACTAAGTAATGTCTGAGGTGTGGGCATCCCACGATTCAGGCTGACTCAAAACCGGAAAGCCAAAGTGTGCGAGTGCTGCCCTGCGTCATTGGCTGTGCGGAAGGAATGTGCTGGCACGAGCAGATGGCTGGTGGAGTGTTCCACCGAAATGAAACTCCAGTGCTGACTTCTTGTTTTTACCTCCCCACCCTCCTCTCAAGGTTGGTCTCCGACAGCTGGACATGTCCTTGCTCTGCCAGCTGTACAGCCTCTACGAGTCCATTCAGGAGTACAAGGGGGCGTGCCAGGCCGCGTCCAGCCCGGACGGCACTTACGCTCTGGAGAACGGCTTCTTCGACGAGGAGGAGGAATACTTCCAGGAGCAGGATGCCCTCCGTGATGGGAGGGAACAAGGCCCTGCGAGGGATCTGTCACTGCCCGCCCCGCCCCTCTCCGGCAGCGACTGGATTCTGGAGTCCATCTAGACGGTCTCTGGAGGAAGGAGACTGTTACTGCCGGACACACGGTCAGCATTTGCTTCACCTCTGCTCCCTGGGGGTGGCCCCCCGGGCATGTGGGACCAGTGCTGCCTGTTTAATTTGTAGGCAGGGAGAGCTGCACAGACACCTGGTGGCAGCCTGTTTGGGTGGCCGAGTTTCTGCTGAGGTGCACCGCAGTATCCCGACACCTGGTACCGAGGCCCTCCTACGATGGTTCATAGCGACAATATGACAAGAGGATCCTGGGGAAGGTCCGTGCAGGAATTTCCCACGAGACGACGTCTAGCTCGTTCCTTCCCGACAGATGGGAGACGGATCTCCACCGTCCTTGTAGGGTTTGCCTCCGGCTGCAGTGTGTCAAAGCTAACATTTCACGGCTCCCTTCCTTAGTACCTACCTTCTGCAGCTTGCTTGCTTTTTCATGGGCTTTGCAGCCTCTCCGTTGAGCTTTATTTATTTGTAAGCAGCATTACCAACTGTCCGGGCGACTCCGTGAAAGCTCTGCACTGCAAAAGCAAATGTTTCAGGTCACACCGATCAACTGCCTTCTCTTAGCCGGTCCAAACGCCGTGTGTCGTTGCTTGCCCAGCAGATACAGGAGGAAGGAAGAGCACGCGAAGATACGTCCAGTGGGACAGAGGCTGGGCCAGCTCACGTGTTGTATCATTCACTGGACGGTGGCAAACGCCTTTGTTTTTAAAGATTCTGAATGTAAACTAGTATGTTAGAAAGTGGATCCCCCACCTTCACGCAAAACAGTGATCACCTTAAGCCTTAATATATTTATTAAAATCCTTTATGAACACTTTATACTTTGTAGGTTAAACATGAGGATAAAATGCTAAACTCCTTGTCTGTGGTTGTGTGTTATTTTGGTCTGAATTCAGAATCATCAACGTTCATAACTTGAATGCATTGAATCTAATCAAATACTAAAAGAAAATGACAGTTTTTAAAAATATTTTTTCAATTACATTTGATATAAATATTATATTAGTTTCAGGTGTACAAACATAGTGATTAGACATTTATATACCTTATGAAGTGATCACCCTGATAAATAAAGTACCCATCTGATACCACGCATAGTTATTACAATATCATTGACTATATTCTCTATGCTATACTTTACATCCCCATGACTATTTTTAACTATCAATTTGTATTTCTTAACTCCTTCACCATTTCCACCTATCTCCCTAATCCCCCTTTCCATCTGGCAACCGTCAAAGTGTTCTCTGTATCTGTGAATTTGTTTATTTTGTTCTTTAGATTCCACAGATAAGTGAGATCATATGGTATTTGTCTTTTCCTGTCTGACTTTTTTCACTCAGCATAGTGCATTCTATGTTCATCTATGTTGTTGCAGATGGCAAGATTTCTTTTTTTTTTTTTTTATGGCTGAGTAATATTCTATTGAATATATGTACCACCTCCTCTATATCCATTCATCCATTCATGGACACCCAGGCTGCCTCCACATCTTGGCGATTGTAAACAATGCTGCAATGAACATGTGGATGCACACGTCCCCTTTGAGTAGCATTTTGGGTTTCTTCAGATAAATATCCAGAAGTGGGATTACTGGGTCCTTCTTTGCCTCTTGTTATAGCCTTTGTTTTAAAGTGTATTTTGTCTAGTATAAGTATTGCTACCCCAGCTTTTTATTTTGTTTCTTTCCATTTTCATGAAATACCTTTTTTCCCTCCCTTTACTTTCAGTCTATGTGTATCTTTCGATGTGAAGTGGGTCTCTGGTAGGCAGTATATGTAAGGGTTTTGTTTTGTTATCCATTTAGCCACCTTATATCTTTTGATTGGATCATTTAATCCATTTACACTTAAAATGTTGATAGATATGTAGTCATTGCCATTTTATTATTTATACTTTTGATCTTTTTTTTTTCTTCTTCTTTTTCTTCTTCTTAAAGAAGTCCCTTTAACATTTCTTGTAATACTGGCTTAGTGGTGATGAACTCCTTTAGCTT